GGGCCCTACAGCTCGTCGGAGCGGATGACGTGGAAGAGGGTGATGTTGTAGAGGACCTGGTGGCCGTTGTTCCAGGCGTAGAGCGCGCGGTCCTTGGGGTTGTAGTCCAGCATGGAGATGTGCGAGTACTTGTTCTGGAAGGGGATGTCGATGTACTCGTAGGTGGAGGCGTTGGTCTGGTAGGCGTAGTGCACCTTGGTGCCGCCCGAGTAGCCGTTGGTGACGTAGAGCGTGCCGCAGATGATGAAGGCCTCGCCGGCGCTGCGCTTGGGGTAGCTGGTGTTCCAGGTGTGCAGCACCTGCAGCGACACGGGGTCCAGCTTGCTGACCACGATGTTGCCGGCGTTCTGGTTGGTGGCGTAGACGGCCCAGAGCCCGCTCTCGTCCACCATCAGGTCGATGTCCGAGTGGCCGCCCCATGCGTAGTGGTACATGTTGTTGTAGCCGGCGTAGTCCAGGCTGCGCTGCTTCAGGATGCTCTCGGTGCGCAGGTCGAAGCGGATGACGATGTGGCTCTGGAACTTGTTGAAGTAGATGGAGCCGTTGTAGACCACCTGGCCCGTGCCCGACCAGGGGTGCGGCAGCCGGTGCGACGTGAAGTTGTCCGTCGTCATGAAGTCCTGCAGCGACCGGTACTCGCGCACGAAGCGGTTGTTGTGGTAGCCGTCCATGTACCACACCTGCGGGCAGAGCAGATGCCGTGAGCGGTGCCCAGGGAGCCGGCGGCTCCGCCCCAGGCAGCGCCTCTCCCCCGAGAGGAGCCCGGAGGGGAAGATGGAGAGGGAAGGATGCACGGCCCCTCCCACACCCTCAGGGCACACACTTCCTTTTGCTTTTTGGTTCATCCTCCCCTGAGGATGTTTTCCACTGACTGTCAGAGAGACTGGAAATGAGGGGGAGTCCTGGCTAGTGTGGCTCAGTGGACAGAGCGCCAGCCTTTGGACCAAAGGGTTGGGGGTTCGATTCCGGTCAAGGGCACATACCTCGGTTGCAGACGCCTCCCCGGCCCGGGGCCCTGGTTGGGGCGCGTGCAGGAGGCAACCCATCAATGTGTCTCTCTCACATTGTCTTTCCCTCTCTCTCCCGCTCTCTCTAACAACCAACAGGAAAACACCCTTGGGTCTCGGGTGAGGATTTTAAAAAGGAAGGAAGGGGGGAGGGAGACAGAGGATAGGTGCCTCCTGCACCAGCCCCGACCAGGGCCAGGGCTCCAGCCCGCAACCGAGGTACGTGCCCTTGACCAGGATCAAACGCGGGACCCCTCAGTCCACAGGCCGACGCTGTATCCAATGAGCCAAACTGGCCAGGGGCTCAGGCACGTTTCAAAAGGGGACAGGACTATTCTCCCCCAGACAGAGAAGCGTCCGCTTGGGGACCGGCCAGGAAGCGGGGGTGGAACCGACAGCCCGGGGCACCGAGTCCCCTGTGGGTGGCAAGGCCCCAGGCAGCCCTCTGTGGGTGCCTCCGGGCTGTGGGTCTGCAGGGCCCCCTGCTTGCTCACTGCTCTCTCCCTGGCCAAAGGCGCACAGTAGGTGCTCATACTAATTTGGGGAAGGAAGGAATCCATCGTGTATGGAAGCTCAGGCCCACGAGACAGCCTTGGAAAGGGCGTGGCTGCCTGGGCCCTGGACAAGGACAGGGCGCTGGGCCGCCCGGTCTCCGTGTTGACCCATTTCCAAGGTCGCCAGCAGAAGCAGACGCTAGAGACTCTAGAGCAGCGGTTCTCAACCTGTGGGTCACGACCCCTTTGGGGGTGGAATGACCCTTTCACAGGGGTCGTCTAAGACCATTGGAAAACACATCTATAATTACATATTGTTTTTGTGATGAATCACTATGCCTTAATTATGTTCAATTTGTAACAATGAAAGTGGGGGTCACCACAATATGAGGAACTGCATTAAAGGGTCGCGGCATTAGGAAGGTTGAGAACCCCTGCTCTAGAAGGTTCCACAGCCAGAGCTATGGTCTCAGTGTGGGGGATCAGGGTCCCTGGAGCGCACGTGTCTCCTGGGGGCGCACAGCCTGGCAGGGGCCAGGGGGCGAGAGCCTGACGTCGGAAGGGAGCTTCCAGGCCTCGGTGCCAACGAAGCCGGTGGGCAGGTCCCTGCTGAGACCTGGTGCAGGAACCCAGCGCCCCACCCAGCATGCACCGGGCATCCAGCTGGCGCTTAATAAATGAGCCACGGAAGCACGGACGCCGGGAATGCCCAGCGACCCTGTTCTGCCCGCTCAGCACACGGGCAGCGGGACCCCTGGAGCTTAGGCGGCCCCACCAGGGTCCCCAGCCCTCCCGTTGCCCCCAGCCTTTGGCCGCACCCCTCCCACCACGCCCTCCCTCCACGCAGCCTGCACGGAGCTGACATTGATTGTGTGTTTAGGAAGCGAGTTATTGGTCTCCTGCGTATGTGTAATCAGAACTGGACGGGAGGATGGAAACGACCAAACAGACAGAGGTGTCTTCCCAACCAATGGCAGGGCCCGGGGACATGGCGCTCTGTGGGGGAGGTGGAGGCCGTCCTGAGCTCCTGGCCCGCCCACTGCTGCCCAGCACCCCGCCCTCCCACACCCTGCGAAGCCCTCCTCCCCTGCCCGTCACCGGCCGCCTTTCCTGGAGGGTGAGCAAGCCATCCAGCAGCAAGTGGCTCTCTAATGATCAAACGCGCCCTTCACCACCTCAACGGCAGGCAAATCCACGCCCTTGCCACGCGTGCGGGGAGGCACACAGTGGGCTCAGAGCCCCGGTCCCCTGTCTGGGCAGAGAGCGCGCTCTCAGGGGGACAGCGAGGGGGTGGGCGCTGGGCGAGAGGCGCGCTTGCAGCACCAGCGTTGTTGATTCCCCGGATCCCACCAGGTCTGTGGGTGCGGCTGTGTGTGCAGGGCGGCGGGCGCGGGTAGGAGGTGGGTCTCTTCCTCCCCACACT